ACCCTCAGAGCTGACAAATTACCCGACCTGAGGCTGCTGGCATTTTGCCGCATAGGCCTGTACAGATGCATACTAAAAATGCTGATAAAATTACAGCAGATCATTGAAAAGTGCCAGTTTTAGTAAAATGTTGTTCAGTTTAGCATTGACCATGTGCATTACCATTCATTTCATGGCATGTATTTACAAGTACATACAGCTGGCTGCTGAAGAAGTTTATCCAGTCAGTGGAGTGCTGTACTCCAGTTGTTCATTGACACACATTAGTTAGCATTCTAGAACTTAATTTTATGTCCAGTGCCACTCAGAATTAGGACATTACTGACTGATCATCTTCACAACCCGTTCTAGATAATTCCTGGTTTTTAACAAGTACTCTTGCACTAAAGCCAGGGCATCAGTCTTAGAGTGCACTGTTTATCCATTTTTCCCTAGTATTGCAGATAATCTGTAGCATGAGATGCATTAGGGTGAACTTCTTCTTACTATAATCACTCAGAGAAACCCCGGCTAATGAAAAACGGGTATTCATGAGAAATGGGTCCATATCTCAGCCTACCGTTTTATAAATAGAACTAATCTGAATCCCCTCTGCAAAACTTTCTGACAGACTTTCCAAGCACCGACATGCAGGAAAGTTTGGTGTGTTTACTTTCACTCTCGTGTCTGAACTGCTGATGTTTGAAAAAAAGTGGATTAGCAAATTTGATGACATGAATGCTACGGAATGCTGCGAAATCACTTGTATTATTCTTATTTATTTCTGAAGATTAAAATTCACAATGGCAACAATTGCAGTCTTCAGTGAATGATTATTGGATATAATGAATAGTATTTATTAATATTAATATCTATCTATCCTTATTGATTTTATAAATCAGTAGTACGATAAAAGCCAGTGGTTGATACATTTCAATTAATATTTACAGTAATAACAATTTTGAATAATCTGAATCATAAATATTATTCAGAATTACCATGATTATTGCATGATGACTATATAATATATTATATTATATTAATATATTATATTATTATGACTATAATAATATACTTGCAATGCTTTTTACAAGATAAAATCTAATAATTACGATAATTCCAGCATCACATTAATGAATCATAATGGTCAATTGTCAGATTGCCAAGCAACATTGCAACATCTCTTAGGAATTCCGATGATGTGCAGTCTCACAGGTGTGCATTTATCGCTTTACTTTCTATCCTTTAAGAACTATTCTGACTGACAAGGCTGAAATGCTGAGCTAAATGCTATGAGCCGCGATCCACTGTCAGCAAAGTCAGCTCCCGCAGAGTGTGTCTGAGTGCTGATAATCTGGCTTTAGTGACTCTAGATACGATCTCTCGGAGGCTGATGGCTTCATAGATAACTGCTACAGCGTCTCTTCTGTGTGATTGCCTCTTTATGCTAATGAAGGTGTGCCTAACCTCCCAATGAGACCTTTGATTATCCTGTCTTATGCTGATGGCCTCATAAATATACATGTATCCTTGAGACACAAATCAATGCAAATGAGAGACTAATGTCAAGCACCAAATATGAACATATATGTGACAGAAAGCATTTAAGATCAATTGAGCCAATGAGATTGCATTTACAGAGCAACATTTTCTAGTGGGTGCCGTTTTGATTTCAACAGTGTATCTCATGCTAAATGTATATTCATATCTTTACAGTACAAGAACAACAGGCAGCTATTTGACATTACATTTAAGAAACAAAATTGCAAGTATATGTTCATTCAGTTGAAAACAAATGTGCTTTTTCACTCAAAATCCTCTCTGTGTAGCTCTTAAATACCAACTTTACGTTACAAGCTTTTTTTAGCCTTACGATCAGCTGACTAATTTTTCAGCTAGCTAATTGTAAGGTGTAATCAAAGCAAACGGCAAAAATGTTTAGTTTTACACATTTATAGCATTGATGGATTACCAGTGTATTTAATGATTTCTAATTAGACAACAAATGTAATACCCCAAAAAGTCATTTTCAGGGGAATCATACAGGGATCTAGTAGGGATAGGCTTTTAACAGCTGGGTTGGATTTTTGTTTAACACTTGCCTCCATCACCTTTCTTGTGTAGTTTATGTAGGCCTGTCTTGTTTGGATATGTGTGATATGTCATTTTCTGCTGGGATGGTGAAGATGTAAGCTTGGACAGAGTGCTGATCCAGCTGTCAAATCTGATTTGCCTGGGCTGAGTTGATAGGGAGTGGTGTCACTGCTATACCCCCTTCCTTTCCGGCTGCAGTTGTCCCGGAATGATGTCTCTCCCTGGCGCCGCTTAGTGAAGTGATCGGAAAAGGACCTGACAGCTGGCTAATGGGTGGATTTGCAGCAGGACTGCTTTCGTTACACGCCTTCTTGTCTCTTTGTCTTTTGCTCTCACCCTCTTTCATGCCCCTGCTCTGTTACACACCCGGTTTTCCATGGTGTTCTTACCACACCTCAGGGTTATATAGATCACAGCTATACTTGTGGTTTCTGTGATCCCAGCAATCAAATTTGTCTCTGCATCCTCTCTCTAGGTCATCTCACTGTGTTTCAGCCATAATATCATTAATCTCCCTAACATTTCCAAGAGCTCAAAACTGAATAACACTGAATGTCATATAGATGTGCTCTATGAAACAGGGGAAACATCCTTGATTTATTCACCTTCATATGTGACCCTGGACCACAAAACCAGTCATAAGGGTCATAAGGAAACTGAGATTTATACATCATCTGAAAGCTGGTGCTTTCCATTGATGTATGGTTTGTTAGGACAATAGGACAATATTTGGCCGAGATACAACTATTTGAAAATCTGGAATCTGAGGGTGCAAAAAAATCTAAATATTGAGAAAATCGCCTTTAAAGTTGTCCAAATGAAGTTCTTAGCAATGCATATTACTAATCAAAAAATAAGTTTTAGTATATTTACAGTAGGAAATGTACCAAATATCTTCATGGAACATGATCTTTACTTAATATCCTAATGATTTTTGGCATAAAAGAAAAATATATAATTTTGACCCATACAATGTATTTTTAGCTATTGCTGCAAATATACCCCAGCGACTTGAGACTGGTTTTGTGGTCCAGGGTCACATATTTCAAGGCACGTGTAGTGTTTGAAAATAAAAAAGACATCCTTGGCAAGTGTAGCATCCTTTACGAAAACCCATCTTGTGTCCAAGGCCGCTACTGCTATATCATCCCTTGCTTTTGATAAAGTTCCAGAAGTGAGGCTTTATGCTCAAATACAGCCTGTTTTGTAGCAGTCTTTCTGTTAAGGTTCATATTTACTTTTTAAGAGAGGGTCCATTGTTGTATGTCTGCATCAATGGAACATTCTGGGTAAAATCAATGAATATTTAAGGCAGGTTGTGAACTACCTGTGGGGGTCGAAGGCAGTAGCATTCCCTGCTCATAGCCTCTTCTGATAAGAAACTCAGAGCCCAGACCCTATTCAAAACTTAATATTCCCCAGACATATCTCTCCTTTCTAACCTAGTCTGAGACAAATGTAGATTACTAAAATAAGATAGCTTTTTCTGTGTTATTCAAACTTCTCTCAGGGAGTTTGAATCCGTAACAATGACTGATTGCATCAGCTCACTCTCTCTTATCACACTTTTTGAAATGGTAGGACTTTAATGACCTCTAATCTGAGCTCACACAGGAAAGGACAAGACCACTGACAGCTGATGGGAGCACAATAGGAGACTAGCAAGTGAAATTCAGCTTCAGATATCAGCTAGGGGCCTTGCATTCACTTTCTAGAAAGAATTCATGACTGACGGAACAAATTATTACTCTTGTCAGCCTGGAAGGTAATGTTGGGGCTACGGATGGAATCTTATCGAATCAGAGTTCCTCATAGACTTTCTGTATGGTCTCAGTAATGCCCTAATCTGGCTGTGATGAACAAATGTGAAATTTGTATCTATTGTACATTAGCAGCCATATGCAAAGTTCCAAAATCAATTTTATTTTTTACTTTGACATTATCTTGTAGCTTTTAAAGGTATAGTACTCCCCTTCTGGAACATTCAAAGTGAATTTCCATGAAAAGCTAGAACATCCAGAAAAAAAATCTGTCAATCAAAACAAAAAAATATTTGAAAATTAGTCATTTGCTATCTTATTTGCAAGTGAAATGCGCTTAAGATACTATAATCTATTAGACAATAATTAGAAGCATAGAGAACCAAGTGATTGGAGTAAATGACAGTGCCTAATATGCTCCTAATAGCAGGAAATGTCTACTGTGTAAATAGTATGTTGCATGCCGCATTTCAGTTTAACAGGCCCTGTGATGGACTGGCCATCCTATGGCCCGAGACGATGGGATAGGCTCCAGCATTCCCTCAAACCTATGTAGAACAAACAATTCGGAAAATGAATGGATGGATAGCAGTTGGTAGGCAAAGGCAAATCTGTTCTGACCACATGAGTACTCAAAATCTAATCATTTATGAAAGTGTTAGTTGAGGGTGATTTACCTTTTGATTTTCAGCCAAACAGTTCCCAGAGTATGTCCTTTTTCAAGGGGTTGTTTCTCAATACAGGTTGTTCTTGTTTTGCAAGGTCATATCACAGTATGACTGTCTTGACTACATTTTCACCTGCTAACACCTGCTAACGTTTGCAGCAGACTTTTTAATGCCCAAACAATAAATGCAGTCCAATTAACGCAACTGTAAATGCACAGTTTACCACATGTACTTCAATGCTTCCTTTTATTCAGTGTGGGGTAATTGCTTTTGCTGTTGTATACAGTGTTGTATACATTTATTGCCAACTTTTATTAAGAGCTTCTACATGAAAGGCAGCGAAAGTTGGAGACTGGAAAATTGGTTTGTCTCAGCATGTCATGATATTTAGCAATTTGTAGTAAGTCTTGTAATTGATTTAATTTCATGCTGTCATCTCTTACTGTGCTTGTCATAATGTTGCCTTATCTGACTTTGTTTCATATCTCTTTCTTTGCAGATCGAAATGTTAGAGCACAAATATGGGGGCCATCTCATCTCACGCCGTGCTGCTTGCAAGATCCAGACAGCCTTTCGCCAGTATCAGCTCAGCAAAAACTTTGAGAAGATCCGAAACTCCCTCCTCGAAAGTCGTTTTCCACGCCGTATCTCCCTGCGAAAAGTGCGGGTGCAAAATACAGAGGGCATCTCAGCTGAACGGGCACTGGCTGAAGGCTGCAATCTGACAAGTATCCCCCTTGTCCGGTCCCCATCCCTGCCTACCACAGTAGGCGGCTCCCTCACAGATCTTGAGGATTCCTTCAATGAGCAAGTCCAGTCTCTTGCCCAATCCATTGATGATGCACTTAGCAACTGGAGCATGAAGACCATGTGTTCACTCCAAGAAGGTGGCACCTACCAGTTTAGCTCAGAGGCCTTTAGTACAGCTGGTGGCAAAACTGGGTTGGCAGGAACTGTCCGAGAAGGTGGCCCCATGGACTCTGCCACATTCCATAGCGGAAAAGGCCAAGTAGACAATTCTGAGAACGTGGCCCGGAGTGCCAGCAAGCTGATGATGGCCTTTCGGGATGTGACAGTTCAAATTGACAGCAAGAATTTTCATGTGTCCTCTTCCGTTTTGGAGTCCTCCACCTCTGTTTCTCTTGGTAATTGTGTCCAGCAGGGGGCCATAATTACTGAGTGCCCACAGCAACCTCTGGTTAATGCAGCAAAGGAACAACATCAACAAGGACAGCCACCGGCATTTCCCCAGGATCCAGCTCCTCCACCCCTAGAGCGGGATGCTGAGGAAGTACCAGATGGCGACTTCCCAGATCCTCCTCCAAGTGAGGAGGAGCTTGTGGAGGATCTTCCACCTCTGGAAATGGAGAAACAGGAAGTTCCAGAACCAGCAATTCCGGCAGAGAAAGCAATAACCTCTGAAACCTTGTCCCCACCAGAGGTTGCAGAGATGCCAGTCACCCCGATTGTAGAGGTTTTGGAAGCCAAACGAATTGAGTCAGACACAGCGGACAACAGCTCAGAGCAGATGAGTAGCAGCAGTACATCCACATCAGCCCGGTCGACTTCTGAAGTCTCGTCCAAAGAGGCTTTACAGGCCATGATTCTTAGCTTGCCCCGATACCACTGCGAAAACCCAACAAGTTGCAAATCTCCTACCCTCTCCACTGACGTCATGCGAAAACGCCTATATCGTATTGGTCTCAACCTCTTCAACATGTGAGTACCCTGAGAACCTCTTATCTCCAGTTGATTGTTATGGTTACAGACCTCTTGCTTGGAGTGACTAATGCCAGATATTTTAGACTATAAAACAATTTTCTCTCTCATTTTATCAAGATGTCCTCACCTGCCACTAATATAGCTGCATGAGGGCTGCTCTTCAAAACCTCACCAAATCCTAGTCTCTCTCTGTCTCACTTTGTTGTCTCACTCCTGTTATCTAGTTATGTCTCCAGCTGTGGCTAACACCCCATTCCTGATGCCTGTCACCTTGGATTTGTCTGGCCCTATTAATAGCTCTGCTTTTGTTTAAAGTGCTGTCTCACTCCCTTTTTCCTAATCTCATCTTGCTCCATTCCAAACATAAATACATTTTAAAAGTTGGACTAATTGTCTAATTAATAGCACACTACAATAATTGGATTATTAGGTTTATCTGGGTTGTGTGTATGAGAAAGAGGGAGATATACAGTATAAGAAAAATGAAGGGTGAACAAGGGGGAAAAAAATATTTTGGAGCCGAGCACTAGCCGTAGGCACATATTGTATCTGTTAGTTTTCTACTTACTTCTGTTACCACCATTTCTGGATAGGATTCTATGGCCCCTCAAACTATATGGAACTGTACAGTTTTTGCTTTAAATTTTTGTCTTTTGGTGTTCATCATCACTCTTCAGATATACCTTAATGAATTTGCCATAAATACCATCTCAGTAATGTTTTTTACATTTTGACACTAAATAGCAGTGCTTTCCAAACCTGCCCTAGAGGCTCCCATTTGGATGCCTCTGTTTACTGTCTCCGTTTAAGGACACAGTCATTTCAGGTCTTGCAATCTGTAATGAGCTGATGAGTTGAACCAGGTGTGTCAGATAAGGGAAAGCGGAAAGCAGCATTTGGAAAACACTGCTCTATAAGTAGCATTGTCGTAATGTCAATACCACATAAATGGTGACCACCAGCTATTCAGAGTTAACAAGTGTAAATGCTGCTTACAGCTATGTTTAATAGCTTTAAGTTTAATTTACTATTTATATTAAAGTAAGATCTTTACAGCAGGGTAAGATCACTTCTTTATACTGATTCTTGCATTCCTTACTGTTATACCTCATTAGACATTGCAATTCTCACCACTGTGGATGCATTTTTTTATCCAAAAGGCTAATTTCTTCAAGCTCATTTCACAGAGGCCTAATCTGAAACATGTTGTTATTGAGATTTTATTTTTAATGCAGGACCAGTTTGTTCCTTTATTCATACATAATGGATTTTATAAGGATTAGCTAACATCAAGATCATGTCGGTTTACTAGTATTCATGCATGACTGCAATATGGCAGTCTCCCTGAAGGCATTCAAATATTATTTTGCTGCACCCCCAGAAATCAGATGCTACAATAAGTGTCTGATTTGAAATAAGCTTGTGTAACTTGCGTATAGAGTAACTTCAAGTAAAATGGGATGCTTTTTAAGATGAATGTGATTGTATTTACTGTGTTCATGCTGTATTATAATTATAGATGCTGATACAAAAATTTAGGTAAAACTTTATTTTACCGTTTCCTTGTTAGACGTTACATGTACTTACTATAGTAATAACAATAAATTATGCATAATTACATGCAACTAACCATAAACAAAACCCTTAGTAGTAAGTACTTAGTAAGTACATGTAGTTAATTAATAAATGTACAATAAAGTGTAACCGAAATTTATTTACAGATATAATTACAGCACATTGTAAAAACATGTATGCACACAATAAGTGCAATGTATCAAATGACAAACGTTAGTAGAGAGTGGTTAAAGACATATAATCATGTAATATAAAGTGGGCCCTCTGTTCTGCCTCATATTGTAGTCTATTTTAAAAGAAACTAAAGATCCCACTTCGATAATTGAAGATATAGATTACTTTAACCCTTACTTCTACATTTACTACCCCATGCAATGGCACTTCAGTTATAAAGAAGTCACTGGGGGAATGTTGCTTTAAAAAGGTAAAAGCTTATTCAGATAAAGCAGTGCTTTTTTCTTTAAGACAGATGCACTGAAGACGGATACAAAGAGGAGAGAATAGTCGCGCAAGCAGAGAAAATACTGTACCAGACAGAACAAATTCATTGTTTGCGATGCTTGAAATACTGAAAGAAAATCATAATTATGGAATTAGGGTGGGGGTTAATATGGATGTATTTCTGAGGAGACTGTGTGGCGGCGGGGTCTGAATTTGAGGGGATGCTGTTGCTGCCGTAACAACCTGCTGCTGGAGGAGCTTCTGTTGCACCACCTGTGTGGTTGTGGCGGTGCCTGTGGGGATGACCTGCACCTGGGCCTGTGTCGAACCTGCTGCGGGTGCTGCCTTTTCTTCAAAAAAGTTTCGATGGCATTTTATTTTTCCTCTTACCTTCGTTAAATACATATTAAAGGAGTGTCAATAAACGCAGCACTGCATACAGTAATTACCCAGAAAATGCTATATTGCTACTGTTTTATAAGCGCCACCTGCTTTCAGAGATTGAATTTGCATTTTCATCTGAATCAGAAAGAGCTTTATTGCCAAGTGTTTTTACACACACAAGGAATTCGTCTTGGTGTCAGGAGCTTCCAGTACAGAAAGTAGCCTACAGACATGGTGCAGACATGCATACCTGTATAATTAAGGTAATAAAACACTAATAATAATAAAGAGTAATAATGAAATATTCATTCAGCCCGTCTGATGTTTTTGTTTTGTGCAGTTGCTTCATATTGCATATATTTTTGTTTGTTTGTTTAAGGTTAGTTTGGCCAGTAACAGAGCAAAATAAACATTTATTTTTACATTTTTTTAAGTGTTCATTTAAGTCTGCGGGGCAGGGGGGGGGGCCATATTGGTAAATAAACAAAATACTTAACAGAAGTTATGTCAGATTAAACAAATGGTTTAAACTGCAATGGGGGCTGGATGCTGCACAGGTGTCAGGAGGTATGGGCGAAGAGAATATCCGTCTATAAAACTTCCAACAGCATAATAATGCAGTGTAGCTAACAACTGCACCGCTGAACTTAAGGTGTTGTTTCTTCTTGTTGCCCTCTGAAGATATGGTTTCACAACCTGTAGTAGTTCAAGGATCTTGGATCTTGGAAGCCGCAATTTTCTTAAGATGGCATCATCAGATAGTGAGTCAAGGGGGTAAATTGTGTCCCTATGCAGGCATTTATATACACTGCCTGACTTCTGCATCACCTTCTGTGTCAGAGGGCGTTGCTCAGCACATGAGGAGGCCTCAGACGGAGGTGAATCAGGGGAAGAGAGCAATAGACCAGGACCCTTTGGTGATTTTGAAGGCCCAGGCTGGAGAAGGCCTAATGTTGAAGCGCCAGACTGGAGGGGGCCTGATGTTAGAGGCCCAGGGAGGAGGGGGCCTAATGTTGAAGGGCCAGACTGGAGAGGGCCTGATGTTGGAGGCCTGAACTTGGAAGGCAAAGGCCTGGTTGATGCACATGCATATATACCTCCAAGGATCCTTCCAATGCTTCAGGCCCCAGGATGGCCAAAACTGTCTCTTCCTCTGTAGTGAGAGGAGGAACTGAATTGATACCCCCACCAGTCTTGTTTGTTTCCCTCTTACGTCCCGCATCCCTCCGTTTTGTCACACTTGCGAAGTCCCTCCACTTATTCCTGACTTCTTCTTGGCTTCGTTCGTACCCATAGCCAGCAGCATTTATTTTTTGAGTGATTTCTGCCCAGATTTACTTTTTGTCAGCGTTTGTAATGCAGTTTTTTAAAAACCTATCTTTTTTTCAATTGTGCTTATGTATCAATATTAAATAAGAAATTGTATTTATATGAAATTGTGAAATTATAGACATTGGGATCAGAAAAGAGCACATTTTTAACTCGTAACTCGAGTGTGTATATGTATATAATATATTGCGTAACAAATGAATGCTGCATTATTACTCCACTCCAACGTAACATCATTTCAAAAGCATAATTCGAGTCGAAGAAAAGAGAAAATTACTGTAGGTGGCGGTATGTGCTCATGGCACCAGTCGGCTATTAGATTGAAGAAGAACAACAACAACGTCATAACGACAGCTCAAACCAACGTGGTTTAAACAATGGATCTGCGACACAGGTACCATGGTTTCGGGAAACAGTCGTAACTAGCTAGTTCATTTCCACAACAATGCATCGTACTATGGTGGTTAATCAGTTAGTTACGTCGTTGTACGGGAAATGCACCCCTGGTTATTTCCGACCCGCTCATCAGATTTCCTTCAAATAAAGGAAAGAACAGTGAGAATTTTGAACATATGGTTAAATCCCTCACATGACTCAGCTTCATCTGTCATGCAAGGATTAGTTCACCCAAAAATGAAAATTCTGTCATCATTCACCCTCATGTTGTTACTTTCTTTCTCTATATGATTTTCTTTCTCTTTTGGAACAGTTTTGTCAGTGAATACATTTTTAGTTTTTAATTAATGTGAATTTTAAATTAATACTGTGTAAATAGAATGTTAATTTAGTTCATGCAAATATATGTACATCTCATTTGTCATCATAAATTTAATTATTTACAATGTATCAGCACTCTTTGCTGTAAATTTTAGCATCTGCCATTAAAATGCTAAATGTAGTGGATTAGTATAAAAGCATAGAAGTAGTCAGTATTTGTAATTCTTTCAATGTCATTGTTACATTTATAAAATGTTATTAGTGTGTGCAAAAAGGTAGATGGCATGTAATAAAACAGAACTACCTTTTTTTCCCAAAGTACACATACTGTACTTATAACTTGCACAATATTTTAAAAAACGAGGCACTCATGGTGTAAAATGCTGAATTTTGTTGAAATGCTGAAAATTGTTATGTCTTTGGAATGGCCAAAGACCATCATGTAATATATTTGTAAACAATTTAACAAAAAGTTCATATGGGAAAAACGTATTGTGTGATCTGGTTTGGTGTGGACCAGTGCTTATTTTCAATTAAATGGAATAGGAATA